AGATCGCGGCTTCGGGGACGCAGTTGTTAAATTTACAACAGAGTCTTGCCTCCGAGACGGGAAGCCTGCGCAATTTAAGAGAATTCTAATCTCGGGAGCGCGAACATAGCGTAAATAGCGAGGGTTGATGGCTTCGGGGACGCGAATGTTAAATAATCTATGGGCGGATTATGGCCTCGGGGGCGCGAAAACGGCGTACCCTACCAGGGATTATGGCTTCGGGGGCGCGAATCTCACGTATTCTTGCGTGTCCCAGGACCCCCCAGAAATTTTGAGAACCCCTCCAGGAGGTGGTGACCAGGGCCCTTTTCGGCTCCCCCCCTCGCGCGGACTTCAACAATTCATTCGTTGCAGGAAGCAGAAAACAGAACTGTAACATCGGAGACTGGAAACTGGAGTTAGAGCAGGGACCAGCAAGCCTAATCCCCATAGCCTAATGGCCCCGCAAGGGGGCCAGCGGATCTTATGTACACCGCAAATGAGCACACGAAGCAGAACAGCACGTGCAGTATGAGGGCAATGAAGCCGACGTGCACTAACTCAATCGCTGAAGAGAGCGAAGAGCGCGATGTACAAGTTCACCAGACGCCTTCAGAGCGTGAAGGGCCTCCGCTAGAGAAACATCCCCGTCACGAACATCATCCCGAAGCATGAACCGCTCGAGGATGCCGCGGAGCCCGAGCCGCTCGGCACGGGCGAGGACCACATGTCAGTCTTGTCGGCAGCATGTTGAATGTCATGTGCAGGAGGAGCTGACTCCTGCACCATGCTCCCCGTCGGGAGCGAAGAAGGTACAGCGCCCCCCTCCTCAGAGCCATCCATGGCGGGGGGAGGGACCCCATCCATGGGAAGCTTGTGATCGTCTCCGACAGCGCCTCCACCAACGGACAAGACTGCGCCAGTCGATGCCTCACCGCCGCAGCTGCCATCGCTGACGCTGGCGCCACAGATGGCGACCGAATGCGAAACCTCTGTGACATCGTTCATCGCGGGCACCTCCAGCGGCTCCCAGGCACCAGGCCAGAGCACCGAGGGCGCCACGCCACAAGGAAGAGGATCGACGAGAGACGTCTGCAGCTCCCGCGGCACGTCCGGAATGGCAGAGGGACGACCAGGAGCCGCCTGGTCGGCAGGCGCCTGCACCTCCGCCGCGTCGAGCGGCGCGTGCAGCCCGACCCAGAACTCCCCGAAGCCCCGAAGGCCGACGCCTGGAGCGCGCCTGGCGGGGGCCGCCCGCAGAGGAGAGGCAGCAGCAGGCGGCGGGGCGCGCTTTGCCCAGTCCCCTTTGGGCACTCAGATCCTCGAGCCTCTTGTGGTTGAGCTGCGGCGCCGGCCGGCGCGCCGCCGCCAGGGCCTCGCCGAGGGACCGAGGGGAGTGCCCAGTGTCCCTCCAGCGCCGCCCGCAGAGCCTTGGCGCGGATGTCGACGGCCCGGGCACGGCTGAATCCCGGGGCTGCTCGGCGCTCGCGCCGCAGCGGGCGAGTCAGCGTCCTCGTGCTCGCAGACGCCCAGGCCGCGCCACAGCCGGAATGCATGGCCGCTCGCAGCGCGGAGCACCGAGGGCCTGCCGTGAGCCGGGCTCGCTTGAGCCAAAATGGCTACGGCTGTGTGCAGGAGGAGGAGGAGGAGGAGGAGAAAGATGATGATGCTGCTGCTGCTGCTGATGATGATGATGATGATGATGATGATGATGATGATGACTATGTTGATGATGATGATGATGATGATGATGATGATGATGATGATGATGATGATGATGATGATGCTGATGATGATGATGATGATGCTGATGATGATGATGATGATGATGATGCTGATGCTGCTGATGATGATGATGATGATGATGATTCTGATGATGATGATGCTGATGATGATGATGATGATGATGACTATGTTGATGCTGCTGCTGCTGATGATGATGATTGATGTTAATGCTGCTGCTGCTGCTGATGATGCTGTTGCTGATGATGATGACGATGATGCCGATGATTGTGCCGATGATGATGCTGATGATGCTGATGCTGATGCTGATGCTGCTAATGATGATGCTAATAATGATGGTGGTGGCTGTGGTGGTGGTGATGATGACCCTGCTGATGCTGCTGCTGACAATTATGAATATGATGATGATGATGATGATGTTGATGCTGCTGCTCTTGATGCTGCTGCTGATGATGATGATGCTGATGATCATGATGATGACGATGCTGCTGCTGCTGATGATGATGATGATGATGATGATGATGAGAATCATGATGATGATGATGATGATGATGATGATGATGATGATGATGATGATGATGATGATGATGATGACGATGGCGATGATGATGACGTGAATGGTGGTTTTGTGGTGGTTGTGATGATGATCATGTGATACCGTGCGGCTGAGTTTGCGGGGTCGCTGCCTCCCACCTCCTCCTCCGTCTCCTCCGCCTCCTTGGAGTCGAAACTGAGTGAGACAGTCCGCTGGCCCTGTGGATGCGGCACGCTTGTTTGGCAGCCTTCGGCCAGTCCGAGTCCATGTACCAGTACAGAGGGGATGAAGAATACGTGTATGGGGGGCACCGAAGAATCGACGCCACGAGCCCCATACGTCCCTGTCCACCATCCAGCCCGACATGCCGATTGGAACGGTTCGGATCTCGAACCGCAGGCGCTTCTTATACGCGGCCGGCCTCGTCTGAGCAGCTCATAGTAGCAAGAGAGCTTTGCAAATGCTCGCTGGGGGAATGGAGGCGACGAGTCGGATTGCACTCTGGCTTTACAAGTTCTCGTGCCCGACCTCAACATAACAAACGCCACTATTACAACGCAAGTTGAGGTCAAAGGATCCAAGGGCGTGGAACCAGAGACCCATTAACCTCACACTGCCTCCCGTGCGCGTGAAGGCATCGGCCGCCCGATCTGGGGCTCTGTTCGAGAGGAGCTTTCGCGAGGAAATTAAATGGAGGACCACTGCGTACGTTCGGCTCGCACCACTGCGCGAGAGAAGGCCCACAGGACCCCGCTGCCCAAAAGGCCTCGCGGAGTCCGTGTGCCAGCCTTCTGGAACGATGGCCGCCTGGGCCCTGGATTCGGGCAGGTCGCAGAGCAGCACGCCCACCATGCTGCTCCTCCGCTTCCGCCGCGTCGCCTCCGATCCGCTCCAGTTCCACTATGCCGATGGACAGCTGTGTGGCCGCCTCTGCCGAGAGGATCTGGATTCCCTTCCGCCTGCGGCTCGCGCCCTCGAGGGCGCTTTCGGCCGCGGCGAGCTCGTGCCTGCTTGTCCCGCACCGCCGCCGCCCCCGCCTCGAAGAGCTCCTCCAGCACCTCCACGCTAGTCTCCACTCTGCACCTGGGCCGCTGCTTCCACGAGGCGCGTAATGGGGGAGCGATGAGTGCGGGGCAGCGAGCACCGAAGGAAAGGGGGCCTTCAGGGCCCCTCAGGGTGCCCTTTAGGGCCCAAAAGAAGGCTTGAGGGCCCGGAAAAGTGCACCATTCCCCCCCCCCCCCCCACTTATCGCCCCCCCATTAAGCGACGCCACGCCAAATCCCAAGACAGGGACGGGGTCTGGGAAGTGCCCGAGCGCCGCTCTGCAGTCGAAGGCGTCCTCGGCCTCTCGCTAGCGGCCGCCCTCCCGCACGGGCCCTCCGAGGCTGATGGAGAGGGCCGCAACGCCGAGCCTTCTGTGCGTCCAGCGCCTCCCGGGCCTCTGAGTCGCATTCCGCCGCTCTTGACGGTTCGATCTGCCTCGGGGCGACCCGCCGGCATGGCGGGTGAGGCCGCCGACGCCAGGAGGAGGAGGAGGAGGAGGAGGAGGAGGAGGAGGAGGAGGGAGGGAGAGGGAGGAGAGGAGGATAAGGGAGGAGGATGAGGAGGAGGAGGAGGAGGAGGAGATGAGGAGGAGGAGGAGGAGGAGGAGCTCGCGGGCCTCGGCGGCCCGGCTTCAGGAGAGAGGCGGGCGCGCGCTCCGGTGGCGCCGCGGCTGGGGTCGTCTCCACACCGCCGGAGCATGCGGCAGAGCCTGGCCGCCGCCACCGCCGCACTCGACAGCCAGCGCTGCGACCGCAGCTGCCGCCGAAGGCGGCGCGCTGGCGTGCGCGCACGCCGCCCGCGCACCCACGGCTGTTTGCACGCCGCCGGGGTGCGATGGGGGGCGCCGCAGCCTTGCTAGCTTGAGCCAGCACGAACGCTGATGCTGCTGCTGATGCTGCTGCTGATGATGATGACGATGATGGTGATGCTGCTGCTGCTGATGCTGCTGCTGCTGCTGATGATGATGATGATGGTTAACAGTGATGCTGATGCTGATGATGCTGATGCTGATAATGGTGATGGTGATTATGATGATGATGGTGGTGATGATGATGATGATGATGATGATGATGATGATGATAATGACGACGATGATGATGACGATGATGATAGCGATGCTGCTGCTGATGATGATGGTGGAAGTGATGATGATAATGATGATGACGATGTTAATGATGATGACGATGCTGATAGCGATGCTGCCGATCATGATGATGGTGGTGATGCTGATGATGATCTTGATGACGATGCTGATGATTGCTATAATCATGATGGTGCTCATGGTGATGGTGATGGTGGTGATGATCATGATGCTGAGGATGACGACGACGACGAGGAAGTTGTTGACGATTCTGCTGCTGCTGATGATGATGCTGCTGCTGATGATGATGATGATGCAGATTGTGTTCTTGTGATGGCCGTGATGATGCTGCTGCTGATGATGATGCTGGTGACGATGATGACGCTGCTGCCGATGAGGAGGAGGAAGAGGAAGAGGAGGAGCAGGAGGAGGAGGAGGAGGAGGAGAGAATGATGGTGAGGGTATGGATGTTGAGGAGTAGGAGGAGGAGGAGGAGGTTCATGAATGCTGTATTGCTTGTCAGCCTCAGCGCGCTTGCCTCTGCTTTGTTCGCCGCAGGGCACAAGCGCAACAGCGAACTTTCGGCACCCTTTGCAGCATCACAGCGCCCCTGCAGCTATGGTGAAGATCAGCGTGCTGCGTGACTGCCTGAACGGACATAGGGGAGGAGTTGTCAGAGGGTTAACTCAAGGGCATGGCAGATACGCAGCGATGAGCGCATTTGTCCGTGAGCATCACGTTTGGCTACCTTCACAGTCGGTGCAATCCTTCTCTAGTAATGCACAACAAATCAAACCTGAGGTCCTCGTCGTCGTTGTGGACATTGCTGTCGTCGTCGTCGTCGTCGTCGTCGTCGTCGTCGTCGTCGTCGTCGATGTCCACGTCGTCGTCGTCGTCGTCGCCGTTCTCCTCCTCCTCCACCTCCTCCTCCTCCTCCTCCTCCTCCTCCTTGTTCTCTCTCAACACCCGCCCGCCCCCTTCACGCAAACGCGGAGCACAATCGAAACGCCGGCTGGAAGGCCGGACTCACCACAAACCTTCGTAGTCGTTTCTGCAAGGTGGTCCAGTATTTGTGGGGCTTTCCTGTGTCCCTCTTCAGGCTCGCCTGGTCTTCGGAGGCAACTCCTGGGAGGTCAAATTCTGATTTTCCCCTGGTCCGAAATCCGGCCTAATCCAGCCTAATCCCGCTTAACCCGGCTTGATCCCGCTTAATCCCGTTTAATCCAGCTTGATCCCGCTTAGTCCGAGGCCCACTCCGGCGTAACAGCCCCCCAACGGGGCTTAATCCTCCTTAATTTTTCCGACGAAGACCTCCCAGTCCCAGACATGCGAAGTCCAGGTTTTTTCAGTATACGGCGTCCCCGGAAGTCCCGACCCTTCCCCTGGGGCCGGCTTCTCCTCCCGAGTCGGTTTTTGACGCTCCCCGGGGGCCGGGCCCCCAGGGGTCGGGAATAGCGAGGAACTTGCCGTCCTGATTTTTTCACGACGCGACCATGTCCAGGGTAGTTGCCTCCGAATGCCTCCCGCCCGTGTCCGCTCGTCGGGTCCCTGCGCCTGCGGGGAGCGCTCCTCCGACGCGCCACGACGCGACCATGTCTGGGATAGTTTGCCTCCGAGTGCCTCCCGCCCGTTGCCGCTCGTCGGGTCCTATACGCCTGCGGGGAGCGCTCCTCCGACGCGCCCTCCTCCGACGCGCCCTCCGCGCCCTCCGCGCCGGGCCGGGGGCAGCCTCCTCAGGCGGCCGACGGGGGGATCGGAGGGACAGAGCTCCTGAGGAGAAAAAACACACAGGCACAATTCATCGTCGCTTCCCCAGGAAATATAGGAAGATACGAGCCCTGGGGGGGGGGGAGACGGAAGCCCCATAATTATGTGGGAAAATGGGGGAGATCCTTTTATGTGTGTGTGTGTGTGTGTGTTTGATTGTGTGTCCCAGGGTCCTGTCAAGAGCCTGAACCGCTTTACCCAATTTCTCCTTCCTCCTCCTTGCGCTCGCTTCCCCGACCCAATCAGGCATGTCTGCGGAGCGTCCTGGAGTCTCTCGTCGGGCCCACCCTGTTCCCGCCGACGACGGACGACGGACGACGATGACGGTTGACGACGACGGCTGACGACGACGACGATTTTCGTCGACGACGACGACGACGACGACGACGACGACGACGACGGCGGCGGCGGCGGCGGCGGCGGCGGCGACGACGACGACGACGACGACGACGACGACGGCGCGGCGGCGGCGGCGGCGGCGGCGGCGACGACGACGACGACGACGACGACGACGACGACGGCGACGACGACGGCGACGACGACGGCGACGGCGAGGAGCCTCCTGAGCGGCAGGCCGTGCCCCGGGGGCCCTCGCTGCGCGCGGGCGCCGCCGTGGGCGGCGGAGCGCCCGCGCGCGCGATGGCCTCTCCCGCGCAGCCCCGCGGCGGCGCCCGCGGCGGCGGGCGCCGGCGGCGGCGCGGCCGTGCGCGGCGCTCCTCTCCGCCGCGGCGGCGCACGGCCCCGGCCCTGCGCCCGCCGACCCCGCCGCCGCCTGGTGCGCGCCTGCCCCCCGCCGGGTCGGGCCCCGCCCGGCCGGGCCGCTCCGGGCGCCGCCCGCGGGCGCGCGCGCCCGCGGCCGGCCCGCGGCGCGGCGCGCGGGCGCCCCCGCGGGGGCGGGGGCGCGCTCGCGGCCGAGGGCGCCGCGGGCGGCGTCCCGGCGCTGCTGGAGGCGGACGACGGCACCGCCTGCTCGGGCGTGGCCGGAAGTGTCCCTGGCCCCGGGGGGTCCCCCCGGGAGGTCCAGGGAGGTCCCCACGGCCTCCAGAGGCCCCGCTCTCGAGGCCCAGAGGACCCCAGGGGGCTCCAGCACAGAGCGAGCACCAGGGGGGCACCCTGGGCCAGGGGCGCCTGCGGCAACCCCCGGCCTTCCTTGGGGCCGTGGTGGGCTTCCTCGGGTACGTGGCCCCGCTGATCTCGCTCGGGATCTACACGCCTCAGGCCGTGCGCCTCTGGAACAGGAGGACCGCGGAGGGCCTGGCCGAGTCGACGTGGGTCCTCAAGCTGTTCGCGGTGACCTCCACGGCGCTGTTCACCCTGCATCTGGGCTTGCCCATCGGTGCCGCGGCCGACGTCATCCTGCTGACGCTGCAGGCTGCCGTGGTCGTCGCCCTTTTGCTCGCCTTCGGCTCGGAGGGGCAGCGGGTGACCATTCTGCCTGCCCTGCTGGTCTACAGCCTCTGGATCGCCGCGTTCGCGCAGGGTATAATTCCCGAGGTGGTCTACTCGGCGCTCCAGGTTCTCGCCGCGGCTTCCTTAACATTTGCACTGGTGCCCCAGATTCTGCTCAACTACGAGAAGGGTGAGGCCGGAAATTTTAGCCCACTGACTGCGTCTCTTGGACTCCTCCTGTGCAGCATCCGCGTCGTTACAACTCTGAGCGTGCCCGCATGGAGCCCAGTACTTCTCGCAACATGGGCAGGGGCAGCCGTGGCGAATGGCGTTCTGACCGCGCAGATCATATACTACAACTCGCGCGCAGGCATCGATGTCGCCGAGACGTTCTACTCTGACCTCAGGCCCCAGTCGGAGTAGAGAGTGGCTCTGCGCGGTCCGCGAGGGGCGCGCCAGTATCCGTTCCTCTTGCCGTTCCCCCCTCTCCAATTCCCTCTTGGTCCTGCTCCTGCTCGTGCCCCTGCCTCTGCTGCGGCTCCTCCCTCCTCCTTCTCCTTCTCCTTCTCCTCCTCCTCCTCCTCCTCCTCCTCCTCCTCCTCCTCCTCCTCCTCCTCCTCCCTCCCTCCCTCCTCCCTCCTCCCCCGTAGCCATTTTGGCTCAAGGCCTCAGCCGTCCCGGCCCAATCGGCTGGGCATCCTCGCGCGCACTTCGGGACGGCGGGGCGCGAGGGAGCAGATGGCATGGAGGGACACAGTGGGCGCCGCGGCAGCGCCGTGGAGGCGACGCGCAGCAGCTGCCCAGGCAGAGCGCGCCGTGATCGTGAGCGCGGCTGTGCAGGCGGCAGTGGCGGCGGGTGTGCAGGCGGCCCTGCAGACCCAAGCCATTCCGGAGAGGCCACGGCCAAGGGCAAGGCCGACAATGTCTCTGTCGGCACGGCTTCTGGCCATCGAGGACCAGGCGAAGGAGGGCGAGGAGGCGGTGATCGAGCCCCCGCCTGGCGTCTGGGACGCCACACCGTCTCCGCGTCGTGCGAGGCTGACGGCTGTGGTGGAGCCGAGCTCGCGGCGCTCGAGAAGCAGGTCACACGGGCGAGGGCGGCAGCCTCCGGATTGCTGGATGGGCGCCCGCCCCAACCCCCCCGTGCTGGACCAGAAGCCCAAGAAGGACAAAAGGGAAAAGGACAAGAAGGACAAGAAGGACAAGAAGGACAAGAAGAGCAAGAGGTCGTGCATTTCGCCACCTACGGAGGTCAACTGAACAGCGACTCCGACGGTGAGGACTACACCATGGACGAGCTCCGCGAGTGGTGCGAGGACGGCGGCGACAAGGGCTCCGCGTACCAGGCGGGGATCGGCAAGGACCAATTGGAAGTATTGACCTCGTTCGGGGTGCCGGATGGGAGCTACTTCGTCGGAGTGCGCAGGGGCAGGAAGGTGGTCAAGGTGTTCGACTTCGTGGGCCACCAGCTGTCCCTGACGAATGACATCGAGCTGAACCTGGGCCAGGAACAGGATGAGGAGGATGAGGAGACGGCAGCAGGCATCGGCGGCGGCAGCATCGGCGGCTGTGAAGTCGGAGCTACGGGGAACATCTTCGGGGATACGTGGATGAATGGCGAGGCGGTGACGGCAACAGGCATCGGCGGCGGCGGCATTGGCGGCTGTGAGGTCGGAGCTGCAGGGGAGACCTTGGAGGAGACGGAGTTAGATGGCGAGGCGGTGACGGCAGCTGGCATAGGCGGCGGCGGCGGCGGCATCGGCGGCTGTGAGGTAGGAGCTACTGGGAAGATCTTCGGAGAGTCGGAGATGACCGATGCGGCGGTGGCTGCGGATAGCTCGTTGAATGCTCCTGTCTGCGGCATGGCTGGCAAGATGGAGGATGAGAGCGACGATGGCGAGGTGTACGAGTTCGGGGTGGAGGTCAAGAACTCGTTCAGCCCGTTCGTGGAGGGCGGGGGCGAACTGAAGGAGATTCCACCGTTCCCAAACCTTGTCGGCAAGGCTGCGCTGGCGAGCGCGGAGCAGGTAATCGAGTTCGGCGACGACGGCAAGCAGTGGCCTTACGACGATCGCGGTGCTTTGCAGAAGGCTGTGCAGGCGGGCTCAGAGAAGTCCAGCGCGTGCGGCGACGTTGGCAGGCAGGACGAAGGACACAAGCATGACATGTACGATCACCTGTCCACCGAGGCGGCCGTCGCGGAGGCCGTGAAGCGCTTTGGAGTCGAGTGGGCCAAGATGCACTTGAAAGAGGAGTGGGTGAGCACCTACCTCGATTAGCGCGGGGCCGCCTGCCCTGTGCTGGCTCGACGTGTGGTGATGTTTTCCTCGCTTATGCGAGGGGGTTGGCACCTGCCTTTTCTCCGCGCTGTCGAGGCCCCATTGGGGGCCTTGAAGGCGCGGCTGGGTTCCCTGGGTCGTCCTCGGGGTTCCCGGTTTTCGGCCCTTGGTGGGCCCTCCCTTGGCCCTTTGGGGGGCTTCCGGCGGCCTCCGCTTCTCGCTCCGTCCTGGGCCGGTGTTGACCCCCTCGGGACGCGCGGGGCCGCTTGCCCTGCGTGGCAGGGGCCCCTGGAGTGGGTCCGTATCATCAGAGTCCTCAGAGCCCTCCCTCCTCCCTCCTCGCTCCTCCTGCTTCCTCCTCCCTCATCTCTCCTCCTCCTCCTCCTCCTTCCTCCTCCTCCTCCTCCTCCTCCTCCTCCTCCTCCTCCTCCTCATGCTCCCTCCTCCTCCTCCTCCTGCTCCTGCTCCCCTCTCCTCCCTCCTCGCTCCTTTTTTTCTCATCTCCTCCTCCTCCTCCTCCTCCTCCTCCTCCTCCTCTTTTCTCTCTCCCTCTCCTCCTCCCCCTTCTCCTCCTACCTCCTCCTCCTCTCCCTCCTCCTCCTCCTCCTCCTCCTCCTCCTCCTCCTCCTCCCCTCTCCCTGCCCCTCCTCCCTCCTGCTCCTCCTCCTCCTCCTCCTCCTCCTCCTCCTCCTCCTCCTCCTACCTCCTTCTCTCCTCCTCTCCTTTCCTCCTCCTCCTCCTCCTCCTCCACCACCCTCCTGCTCCTCCTCCTCCTCCTCCTCCTCCTCCTCCTACTCCTCCTCCACCTCCCCCCCCTCCCCCCCTGCTTCCTCCTCCACCTCCTCCTCCTCCTCTCTTCCTTCTCCTTCTCCTCTCCTCCTCCTCCCCTCCTTTCTGCTCCTCCTCCTGCCTCCCTTCTCTCCTCCTCCTGCTGCTCCCCTCTCTCCCTCCTCCTTCGTGTTATCCTCCTCCTCCTCCTCCCTCCTCCTCCTCTCCTTATCCTCCCTCCCTCCTCGCTCCTCGCTCCTACTCGCCCCTCCTTCTCCTCCTCCTCCTCCTCCTCCGCCTCCTCCTCCTCCTCTTCCTCCTCCTCCCTCGCTCCTTCCTCCTCCCTTTTCTGTTTTCTCTTCTCTCTCCTACCTCCCTCCTCCTCCTGCTCCTTCTCCTCCTCCTCCTCCTCCTCCTCCTTCTCCTCCATTCCTTTTCTTTACAAATGACTCCTCCCTGTCGCACCCCGAGGCCGGATTTTTTGGGGCGGGCCAGGCGTTTCGCCTGAGACTTCGTCACCAGATATGGCCCTGAAGCTTAGAGATTTGCAGCAGCTTCACAGATGTAGGGTGGGTCGTTTAGAACATGTTGCTCTCGCCTCAGCGCGGCGTGCATTTTTTCAAACGTTGGCAAGAGTTTCACGGATTGAGGGTGGCCGTTTTCAACATGTGGCTCTCGCCCTAGCGCGGCGCACGTTCGTTTTGAACACTTGCAAGAATTTCACGGATTGAGGGCGACCCGTTTTCAACATTTGTTTTCCGCTTTAGCGCGGCGCACATTTGTTTTGACAGTTTGCAAAAGTTTCACGGATTGAGAAGGCGGTACTTTTTCAACATATGGCTCTCGCTAAAGCGCCGCGCACATTCCTCTAACATTTGCAAGAGTTCCACGGAGTCCCACCCTCAACGTACCAGAAATGGTGGTTTGAAAGGATTCAGGATTATGCGGGTGTGACAGTTACGTTGAGTCGCTGTGTTGAAGTTCTAGGAGTTGTGTTTAGGGAACTTCAGGGTCTTCAAACGGTTGTTTTCCAACGTGGCAGTTCCTTCAATGGATATGAACCGTTGTAGGGGCCTATGAAAATGGAGCTTGGAGGGAGGGTTTATTCCAACATCTTTGATGACTCTTGAGTTTGCACTCGTTGTCCTCCTCCTCCTCCTCCTCCTTCTCCTTCTCCTCCTCCTCCTCCTCCCCCCTCGCTCCTCCCTTCTCCTTCTCCCTCCCTCCTCCCTCCACCCTCCGCGACCGTATCCCTCCCTCGTCTTCGTCGTCGCCGTCCTTCTCCTGCTCCTCCTGCTGCCACTCCTCTTCCCCCCCGTACCTTTGCGCTCTCCCCCCCCTTCCCCGAATCTCAACCGTGTACAATGTACAGCGCCGAGCAAGGATTTCCTGGACGGTCCGCAGCCGCAAATGGGCGGCCCGTGTCTTATCCCCCTCGCCGAGTCGTCGGAAGCAAGACCGCCCGCGAGCACCTTCCGATCGCCAGGTCGGAGCGCCCGCCCAGTCCCGATGTCCTTTTTGCGCCAGGATTGGCTCTCGTATTGTGGGAGTGAGCGCGGGAGGAGGCGGGGCCCGACGACTCGTTCGACCTGGCTAACTTTAAGTCGGGCCTGTCTTTTTACAGGCGGAATGTTCCAAAATAGTTTGAAAAATTGTCCGGGGACGATTTTTCACTGTGCTTGCACATTTTTTTGGGGGTATTTTTGGAGTACTGTTCATTTGCGCCCAAGATCCTCGTGTAGGGGGTCACGCCCGACCTAATGTTAACTCGACCCCTCCCTCTCCCCCTCCCTGGCCCCCCCCGTGCCCTCCTGCCCCGCCCCCCGCCCCCTTCCTCCTTCCCCCCGCTCCTCCCCCTCCCCTTCCGTGCCCCTCCCGGCCCTTTCCCCTCCCCTCCCCTACCCCTTTCCCCTCCTAGCCCCCCCCTACGCTTGAGTCGGGCCTGTCCCTCTGCAGGAGGAGTCTTCAAAACTAGTAGACATAGTATGGGATCATTTTTTGTTTCTTCTATCTCTTCCCCATCTATATATATATATATACATAGATTCTTGTATTCGTTGTTATTATTATTATTATTATTCGTATTATTATTATTATTATCATCATTATTTTTATTATTATTATTATTATTATTGTTGTTATTCTTCTTCTTCTTATTGGTATTGTTGAATAGTTTTGATTATTTGTTGATTATTTTCGGGATATTTTCATTTTTCGCACAGAAGCCGCCTGTAGGGGGACAGGCCCGACCTAACCCTACTCCCTCCCCCCCCGCACCCTCGCATTCTACCTCTCCCCCCCCGTGTTCCTGATCGTCGCCCTCCCGCCCCCTTTTTGGCTGGCGTCCAGCTCCCAGCCGCCACCTCTCCCCCTCTCGATCCGGAGCCTGAGCCCAGGAGCGCGGCTGGCAATTTTTCCCGGCACCCCTCAGCCCGAGGGTGGTGCGCGCCTGCGCGGACGTCCCTCGGGTTGCGACAAGGGGGTGGTGCAATAGATTCGGTGCAATAGATTTGTGGGGTTGCGCTACCTTTGGGGCGTGCAATACCTTCTGGGGCGCAAACCTATTGCTGGATTTTCGTGCGCGTGCAAAACATTACTTGCAGTACACTGCAATACAATTCTCCGGCGCAGTACATTTGCAATCCGATTGCCCCAAATCCATGGCACCACCCCCTTTCCGCTGGACGACCCCCCTCTTGGGTGTCCCGAGTATCAGCCCGAGGGTGGCGCGCGCCTGCGCGGACGTCCCGTGGTGCCACCGCTCGCGCCCGACCCAGGCCTTCGACGACCCCGTCTTTGCGAGGGGTCATGGCACCAACATCGCAGAGCGGATTTCGTTCGGAAAACGATAAGGTGGGCCCGGAGAGTCCTGGAGAAGTTCGTTCTGGATTTAGAGGTGAACTCTGTGCGGATTTTTTCTGGCCAGGAACGAAGACCAAAAAGAATCCGCGCGAAGTTCGCTTCGTTTTTCGCTCGCCGCTTCGGGCAGCAATCCACGCAGAGATCCACGCAGAAATCCGCTGCAGCACGTCTGCAAGGCCGGTGCAATGAGAGGTGCCGTCTCCTGGATTTCTTCGGCCCCCTCCCCGAGGCAGGTCTTTCGTGCGATGCCGCCCTCTGGCGGCCCAGGGGGCTTGCTTCAGGAGGAGGAGGAGGAGGGGGATGAGGAGGAGGAGGAGGAGGAGGAGGAGGAGGAGGAGGAGGAGGAGGAGGAGGAGGAGGAGGGGGAGGAGGAGGAGGAGGCGGCTTGGGCCCAGGAGTCGACAGTCCACTCCTGGACGCCTGGGCCTGTCCACGAGTGCGTTCTGACAAGACTCGGGAGGGAGAACAACACACAGACGCAGTGAACCGCCGATTCTCAGGAAAGTATGGGAACATGCGGGCAGTATGGGGGGGGGAGGCGAAAACCCAGAGAATGTAAGGAAATATGTGAACTCTTGGGATTTCTGTTTATTAGGTTGTGTGTCCCTGGGCCCCTTTAGTTGGGGCCTGGGAGTCAGCAGTCCACTCCTGGATGCCTGGGCCTGTCCACGGGTGCGTTCTGACGAGACGTTCGCAGGAGTTTCCGTCCGCGGCGACGGGAGCTCCCCCCAGCGGCCCCTCCCCCCCCCCCAAAAATCAAGGGAGGAAAAACCGGCCCGACGCCGATAGTTGGCGTTTACTAAGCGGGCTTCGGCGTTTACTTAACAGCCTTACCCTGTTCGGTTTCTTCCTTGGGTGCGTGTACCAAACGGCTTCGCTTGCTGGGGTGCTTCTTCTGAGGGTGGCTTTTCTGCTTTCTCAGAGACGCAGACGTGCAACCGCCTCAATGGTCGCAGCCGCCTGGGGCAGGTTCACCGCCAGAATCTCTCCACATCCACCGCTTCGGAATCGTGCCGGAGATCTCGAGGAGCGGTGGATGTGGATCTCTGCCCGCCCGCGCTGGCGGGCAGATGTCCGTATCCACCGCTTCCCGAGCCCTCAGGACACGACCCAGCGGCAGTGGATGTGGTCATACTCTGGCGGCGCAGGAGAGGCACCTCTAGGGGAACGAAGAAGGACATAAACATAAAAACTCGGAGGTCCGCACGGATTTCTCGGATCGGCGCTGGGGCCCACTGGCGGCGCCTCCGGCGCCGCCCCTGCCGCGCTCCGCTCGCCAGGGAGGGGGGCCCAGCACGGATCCAAGAAATCCGCGCGGACCTCCGAGTTTCTATGTTTATATCATTACCTAACAGCGAAGACTGATAGGT